CGGAGGACCCGGACACACACGGACACACCACGCACAATGGGAGGTTTTCGCGCACGATGGGGCATCGCGACTACAAACACCTTTCTCTAAAAATAGCAGGGTTGGGGGGGGGGGGGCAGAATCCCACACACACCGGAGCAGCACAGACACCTTACACGTCAGCGCTCGCTCGATGTGGCCGGCGCTCTCCCCTCGGTCCTATCTCGCCTCTTCAACGGCGGCGTGCGGCCACGCGCCGCGCCGAGCCGGTCTCGGCGGGAGACCTCGGAGCCGCACGCGATGCGGGCATGCGCGATGGCTCCGTTGGCTCCGTGCCTAAGGCAGATCGATTAGGGTGTGAGCTGCGGCAGCCACCGTTTCTGTACCCGCTCGATCACGTGCAGGCCGTCGGAGGCCGCGCTGGATGGCCCAGGGCCGGCGGCGGTGAAGGCGTCCGTCGATGAAGGGATGTCGTCGAGGGAGCCATCGTCCTCCGCGGCCGGTGCACCGGTCCAGTTGTCGGAGTTCGAGATCGCAGTCGACTTGGAGAGTGTGTTCGGCCCTTGACGAACTCACGGAATGTGAGCGACTTGGTGCACGCTGGGTCGAGCATCATGACTCGCACCTCATCCTGGGCGAGGAACTCGCCCAGGGACCAGCTGTTGGCGTCGCCGTTTTGATCGAGCTGCATCCACTGCATGGTTTCGTAGTCAAGCGTAAACGCCCAGGAGTTGGTGCCTGAAAGACTTTCCCCATCGCGCAACGCTTACTTCCCCCCCTTCCCGCACTCCAGAATCTCCGGTTGCCCAACTGCGCTACCCCCACAGGAGGCAGCCATCCACCTCTCATACTACTCGTTGTTGCACGTGTCTGTGGACACATTTAGGATTAGCATTTAGGAGAGCCTGACCCTGACGCCTGAGCGGGGCCCGGGGCCCGATATCGATTATCGTACTTCGTAGCTGGTAGAGCCGTGTAGGACTCGCAAGTCTCACCCATCGCTCCCTCACTGTCCGTCGCGCGTCGAGACATTATCAAACTGCAAGCAACCCATCCCACAAAAAATCGGGCGGTTGGGGTTCCCCCCGCCATCCGCCGGCATGTATCTTCGTTATCTCGAACCCAGCGGGCTGGCAGCAACCGTTGAACCCACCCTGCACAAAGATCGCACGGGCGGGGACCTGTTCCTTTTTACCCATCTCACAGTAGAGGTGTCCGTTTTTATTCATTTATTTATCTTCGTTATCTCACTCGAGGCGGGTCTCGCAGTCTACGCAGATCTCGTGTGTGGCTGTGGGGAGGCTGCGACCCGGTACACCCGTGCTACGACTCTGGTACGACGCGACTGAGTATGGGGTGGGAGCATGCAATCCGTGGCACGGCACTCCATGCCTCACTCAATAGGGGCCGTGCGCGCAAGTGCACGAGGCCCTCAATACTTGTCTACTCGGGCGGCCCCGCCGGTGCCCGCTCCGCAGCAGGCCCGGGAGGCGGCTCCGAAGGCGACGGCTCTGGCGCCTGGTCTGGGAGGGGTGCCCCCTCAGGGGGCCCACGCAGCGAGAAGGCGGGGCGCACCAGCTCGCTCTTCGCGGAAGTCCCGCCCGGCGGCGGCCCCGCCACCGCCGCCGCCGCCTCGCCTGCTGCTGCCGTCCCCCTTGGCCCTGCTGCAGGGGCCGGCGGCTCGAGCGACGACCCCGCCTGCTGCTCCCTCACGCGGCAACGTGCGGGCACCCCCTCGGGCGGCCGGGCGCCGTCTTTCCGCGCCCTCTTGGACGAGAGGCCGACGTGAGGCTCGATGCCGTCGATGAGCGAGGCGAGCGGTATAGAGACGGATTGCGAGGCCTGGCCCTGAGGGAAAGGGAGGGAAGGGGCTCGGGCGGCGGGGGGAGGCGGCGGGCGCGGCTTTCAGCGTGCTGTGTGCGAAACCCACGCCGATCGTACTTCCCTCCGCACCTCGCCAGCAGGAAGGGCTGGGCCGGCGGGGCAGGGCGTGCACGAGGGGCCGCCGCACCATGTGAATCACGCCCTGGCTGACGCCTCCGGGCTCGCCGCGGGGTGGAGGGGCGCTGGGGCCAGCGCCATCGCTGCTCGCCACCGGTGCGGCGGCGTGCGGCGCCGCCGGAACTGGCGGTGGAGGCATCATCGCTGCAGCGAGGAGGTCCGCTTCAGGCACGTCCAGCGCTCCGATGGTCAGGCCTGCATGGCGCCCGGTCTCGCGAAGGGCGGAGAGCGTGTTGAGCTCCAGCGCGGTCTGAGTGAGCGCCGCCGAATTTGCGTGCTCCAGGGATTGCAGCCTCCCCTCCATTGTGGATATCCGATCGGCAGTTCGCCGCAGCGCTGCCGCCTGCAGCTGGCCGAGCTGGTTGATCTGCCGCACCTCGGCGAGGAGGTGGGCGAGGAGGTCGGTGTAGTTCTCGACCGACGCCGGCTCTCCGCCCGGCGGCGGCGGCTCCGGCCCACCCTCGCTGGACATGACACGCAATCGAAGGCTCTACGTTGTTTGGTCCATTGCTCGTGTGTTATCGTAGGCCTGGCACGGGTATTTTCATCAGGGAGGTCACTGGAGATCGGAGACCTCGCGATCGCCATCAACGGGCTGCCGACAGCACCAGTGGCCTACAGACCGTACAGCCCCATGGGGTTATAACAAAATATGTGAGTGTGGTCCATGTAGTCATGGGATGGTCATGGGTCTTTCTCTCTCAACCCTCCATCCCCACCTCTGTCTGTCTGCGGACCCCTCTCTAGCACCGGCGGCTGTGCTACTACAAATGAAGCTACCAGCTAGGCCTTCTGGGGCCCTATGCAGTATGGTGGCCGCCGCCGCCTGTGCCGCCGCCGCGGCCTGCGCCTGCGCCGCCATCTGCGCTCCCCAGGAAACCTGCGGTGTGGATCTACTCTCACTGGCTGCGGTCTCCTCTTGATAAGTGTCATAAGTGTGGCTGGGGTATGTGTGTGTCAGAGCCTGACAGCACCCGCCACCCCGACAGCACCACCTGACAGCACCTGACAGCACCGGCCCTACGTCTCTGTACTCTGACAGGCGGTCAGCTCCGCAGCAGCGGCTTGACAGCTCTGACAGCTCCGACAGCGTCTGACAGCACCGCCTGACAGCACCTGACAGCCTGAAAGCCCCAGGGCCCAGCCCCGCACTCGAGACTCGTCTTTTTTTATCTCTTCCAAATGTACAAAAATATCTTCACGCACCACCCGCGCACCCCCACGCACACACGTGTGGCTGTGGGGTGTGCGATTATCGGTTAATTTTATCGGCGCAGTGCGCGCGATCCTCGGACCTCGCGCGGCCTGGGGGGCCAGACGCAGACCTCTGAGCTCTCTGAGAGCCCAGGTAGAGGAAGAGGGTTGTGCTTTTTTGCAGGAATACCGTAGAGCTGTGGAAACGGCTGCGGCCATAACAGTACGCAAGCACACGCACCGAGGCGTCCTCTTTGCCGGCCAACAGCCGGCGAGGGAGCACATGCAGGAGGTCGATGAGACTCGGAGGTATCGGCCGCAGCGCGGCTGCTGCTCGCAGCGGAGCATGCACAGGTACACTTCGCGCGTCACACACGCCGCTGGCCGGTCCGCGGTCTCGGCACCCCGAGGGAGACTTCAAGCTTAGGCGGGAGAGGCGGCCGCACGTCGGCGGGGCGGGGCCACCGCGCAGCGAGGGGCGGCGCTCACGGCATGTCGAGCTTGGCGGCGAGGTCCTGGTAGTTGCTCGAGACAATCGAGTGGACGTGCTTGGCGAGCGCCTGAGGGAGATGCCGCGCGCGTGTCGCGGGCATGCGGGGGCCCGGCGGTTGGGCCCCGCCCCCACCGGCTCTCGCCGCCTCGCGCAGCTCGCAGCGCGACGAGTTCTAGGGAGTGTGTAGGGAGTGTCTAGGGAGTGTCTAGGAAGTGTCGCCTCTCGCAGCTCGTCGCGCGACGAGTTCGCCTATCTCGGGCCAACCTGGCTCATCTCGGGCAATCTCGGCGGATCTCGAGCTCGAGGCGCGGCTGCGTCGCAGCCAGCCGGGAAGTTGTCGGTCACGCACCCCTCCGAGAAGCGCGACACGTCCACCTCCTCGCCAAAGTGGAGCGCCGCCGGGTAGTACTTGACTGTCCGCTGCTCGCCTGCGCGCGACACGGCTCGAACCGGTCGGAGAATGCCGCCGGGGCAGAGGAGGCGATCGCTAGGAAAACGCCGCGCGCCAATCTCCCCGCCGACGGTGGTTGGCGGCGGGCAGATCGGGTAGGTGAACATGGAGAGGGGGTAGAAGTGCGTCGGCCGGTCCGCCTGGTGCAGATGACTCGAGATGGCTCGAGGTTGCCCGAGGTTGCCCCGAGGTTGCCCGAGGTTGCAGTCCCGTCCGCCTTTGCCGACATGAGCCGGAACATCTCAATCGACTTTGAGTCGAACGGCGCGACCTCGTACTTTCCGTCGTCGCTCGGCCGGTCCCTGCCTCCCGACGGCGCCACCCAGATGCACTTTCCTCCGTCCGTCATCAGCTGCTGCATCGTCTTCATCACCATCCGGTTGTGCCTGGATGATAATAAATAATATAATGTAATATAATATCCGGTTGTGCCTGGGGCAGGGGGGCGAGGGCGACGTGGCGTGGCGCGCCCGATGCCAGCCTGGCCTCGAGCTGCCTCTCGGCTGCCTCTGGGCTGTCTCTCGGCCGCCTCTCGGCTGCCTCTCGGCCATCTCTCGGCTGTCTCTCGGCCGCCTCTCGGCCATCTCTCGGCTACCCCTCGGCTGTCTCGCGGCCAAGTCTCGCCTCTGCTTTGTCGACTTGAGCTCTGGCGGGTTGTCGACGTGCTTCTTCGAGAAGATGCAGAGCAGGTTGCGGCCCATCGAGAACGGCATCGCGAGCAAGTCTGTCGTCACGCGGTCACCTGAGGAGTTGATCGGTCGACTCATCAGCGACGGACGACTGAAGGAAGCAAGCCCTTCGTCATGCGGCCGCCGGCGACGAAGATGGTCTCCTCGGCAAAGCCGGGCACCTAGATGGTTCCTAGAAGGTTCCTAGAGAGTTCCTAGAAGATGGTCTCCTCGGCAAAGCCGGGCACCCGGCCGCACGGAGGGGGCGTGAGAGGGAGGCGTGCAGAGGGAGGCGTGCAGAGGGAGGCGTGAAGAGGTGTGAAGAGGAGGTGTGAAGAGGGCGCGTGAGGGCGCGTGAAGAGGAGGTGGGACAGAGGCGGCGTGAAGAGGCGATATGAAGAGGCGGGAGGCGGCGGTGTGCGGTGTGTGTGTGTGTGTGTGTGTGTGTGTGTGTGTGTGTGTGTGTGTGTGTGTGTGTGTGTGTGTGTGTGTGTGTGTGTGTGTGTGTGTGTGTGTGTGTGTGTGTGTGTGTGTGTGTGTGT